TGAAAAAATAAATGATAAAAAATAGTGATTAAAAATGTGAAGATAAAATTAGATTTCATTATATAAATTTATCTCTCTTTGTGATGAACAAAACATACCTTCCCAAAGATGATATATATTCTAGTTATTTATTGGATATTTTATGAGATCTAAAAAAAATTTTAAAATTACATGTTATTTAAATAATATTTTTCGTAGTATGAAGATGTCTTTCCATATGAGCAATTACAAAAACATCATGCAAGAGACGAATAGATTACATGATTGACATAATATTTGTAAGCACATCAACTTTCCAAGTTTGATAACATTTGACTCAAAAATGAATTGAATGAATGCAAATATTAAATAAAGGAAATGTTAAGCAAAGGGTTTGTTCAATCAAGTGTTTATCATACAATTTTCTACTGCTATTTTTGAAGAAAAAAAATCAAAACATAAGAATATGCATTGATTACACTTCCTTGTATGAATGCTTACTTTGATTAATTTTAAGGAGAAAAATATTTTATCACATTACAGAGGGATTACAATCATATTTATATTTCAGATGAAGACTTTTATAATTTCATTTTTTTTTAAGATATCAATGCTTTGGATATTTGTTCATGACTTTTGGTTTCAATAATGTATCTCTTATATTTATAAAATAAAGGAATGCAAATTTTTGTTAGTATCTAGAAGAAAATATTATTATTTTTTTGATGATAATTTGATATATAACAAAACTATGAGTGCTTATAAACATCATTTACAAAAAGTATTTTGAGTTTTGCGAAAGAATGAATTATATGCTCGTTGTTCAAGAGCTAAAGTCAAAAAAATCTCAAAAGCTTCAAAATGTGAGTTTGGCAAATCAGAATTAGATGATTTACTCATAAAGTTAGGGTATCAAACTCAACTTTAAAGTTTCTAGGACTCATACGTTTGTATTCTAGATTTATGAAAGGTTTTGTTTGTCTAACACAAGTTTTGACATCATGCTAGTCAAAGATAAAAATTGAAATTGGGAACAATTCAAAAGTTTTACTTTCAAGCATTGAAAGATATTTTGTAACACGGAAATATTCTCAAGTGATAAGATCTTAATTAATCCATTAAGTTTTCAACTTAATGGATTCAACGATAAGTGGTGTCATATGCCTATTTCTTTTTCTCTCAAGAGTTGATGACAATGTATTATAAGATCAGTAGTTGTATATCTGAATTTCTAATCAAACCAATCAAAGAGTTGACCATGATTATTTTAGTTATAACTAAGTTCAGATAATTATGACCAAATTTAGATGTAAAAATATATACTTGATAAAATAATTAGTATACTTCTAGAGAATAAAAGCAAGCATTAGTATTTTCACTGCTATCAAAGTCTGGATTTTAAGTAGATAAGATTTAGACTACATGTTAATTGTGATTGATTTGACTAAATAATAAAAATTAAATTTGTTAAATTAAGTGTGAAGTTGATCATAGTGACAAGTGAAAGTTTTTGAACTTTGAAGATATCAAATGATATGTCGTTATCCCAAACTAGAAACAAATAAAATTCTAGAAGGTTTAGATAGACCAATAACATGTTACCACATAATGAAACTTGATGAAATTTACTAATTTATATTTTATTGAAATTAAATTAAATAATATTAATTATATAAAAATATAATTAATCTTTAAGTAGTGTAAATAAAGAGGTAGAGAAAAAATTATCAAGGAAGTTTGAAAATATCATTATGTGAGAATTTGAGTTTATAAATTATCTTGGAGTAACAATAAGTGTTGGATTTGAATGATGTATGACGATAACGTGTGAGAGAGTGTTTGTAAAACAATCATGTAGATGAAAGCTTCTTTTCTATGATGAATTATCAAAATGCCATTTCAGGTAAATCTAAGTAAAACTCAAGAAGGAAGTCACATAATAAAAATATCATCAAACTAGAAAAACTAGCTAATGTGTTAGCAACAAAACACTAGAAGTATTATTTGTATGATAAAAAGTTTCTAGTGAAGTTTGAATTTACAACATTGATTTATGTGATAATTTAGAAAGAAATGTTTAAGCAAAAAGTTTGATGAAATGAGTGAAGTAAGCAATACATATACAATCTTCATATCAAAGATTGTCTGTATGGGGTTTAAGAAGCAATCTAAGTATGTCATGTTATAATCATGTTGCATTGAAAGCAATTGATGAAGCAATTTGACTTATGCTACAAAGAAGTACAAAGATATCATGAGAGCACTAGAAGCTAAGAAGGTGAAAAGATTCAAGTTCTGCCGTTTAACAAATAATATATACAAAGTCCGCAAGATCAAGAGTTACACATATTGATTTTATAAAAAAATCATGATACGCATATTGCTCTCACATATTGTTTGCTATATGGGATTGATGAAGAATTTGAAAAGCATACAAAAACTACATTATTGATCTTAAATACAAAAAGGTGTGAGGATTTAAGTTTGCAATTGTATGACTTGTCATACAAAACAAAGCAAGTGAATAAAAACCAACTGGTATATGACAACATTTTCTTGCTCAATTGTATTTAGATGCAACTTTTATGGTTAACAAATTATTAATTATTGATATTGGTGTTTATTTCACAAGTTTGTTTTGAAAAAATTTGTTTGATATTTTCAAAACAAAATAAGCAATGTCAACGGCTTTTCATCTTCAAATGTTAAACTCAAGAAAACTTTCAAATTAAAAAAGCAACAATAGTGGATTATTATTTTAACTTTTGTGAAATTTCCATATAAAAATTATATCAGTGACTATATTTTGTCTATTATACGGTATTCATCTTATAAATCCATCAATTTGATGAATATTTTGAAAAATCAAGAGTTTTTGAAAAAAATAGCCACATACATTAATTTTGTGAAGCAAATCTATTGAAAGCTACATCAAATAAATGATCAATCCAACAATAATAGCATATATATGTTAATTGTAGAAAGTTGATTTTTCACATATGATATAATGTTTGGTAATCTGGAATAAATTTGTTTTATTATAGAAATATAAAAAATGTAATGTTTGTAAAATGTCATACAAGTTGGATATTTTATCACATATGAAAATATGTTATTTATTTCATATATCAAAATTGCAAACATGTATTATTTTAAACAAATTTATCAACCAAACAATATAATATTCTTTTTCAATCTTGACAATAATCATGAGTAATTTGAGGTATAAAAAATATTCAATAAATGCCTTTGAGATCAGTTTATTCTAGATTATCATTTTTATATTTATTTTGGTATAAATCTTATTCTTCTATTAGTAAATTGAATCAATTTTTATGTTTTCTATACTGTAAAATATATAAATATCTCATAACGTGGGAGTGAGTCATCACAATATCTCCTAACACGTATAACTGAATCTGGTTCATTTACTAAGAATAATCTAATTACATGTAAAGAAGTTTGTGGATTTGTAAGACCAAAGCTTAAATGCAGAAGCATTTCTAAAGTATCAACGATTCAGCGTGCAAACAAAAAAAAGTCATGGAGAAAATATGGGGTTTTATACCAAAGATTTTACGTTATTTCATGATGAACAAATAGTCTCTTGACAGCCTTTAAGTAGAATTTCTATTTACCATTTACAATTCGAACATACGAACTGAGATGCACGATTTTACAGAACAGTGAAGTAGTAGATGCTGCATGTAGTTCGAGTTCTGTCTAAATCTTTATCGATTTTATCAGTCAAACTTCTTCGTTGTTGTGATGGGAACGCTCTGCGCGTTCAAGTCCAGATTGCAATAAATTTTGTTTTCTTGCGTCTTGGATCATCATTTGCTCTGAAAGATTCTAACGCACTGCAATGTCCCACGTTCTCTATCTCCTCTGAGATATTTGTCTCTCCCTACTGCCGCAAGCCCCTTGATCTTAGTCCCTTGTAATTTGATAATTAGAAAGGATAGTGGCCGGGTCGAACTTCCTTCGTCTCTCTTCCTACATGCCATGCTTTCAATTACGTACCATAACAGATTGCAGGATTGCTTCCTAAGTGACGATCAAAAGGCGATATTGCATCTCCCGTCCTCTCACCACATTCTCTCTCCGACTCTTATCTGTGGAGTGTCCCCTGTCCTCTTTCGGAGTCATTTATCAGTTTCTGAATGAAACATGAGTTAGACAGCAAGTGAGGAGCTCGTTGATGCTGGAGTGGAATATAATTGTAGGAGTTGGATGTCAACTGCATGAATCACCAAAGATGATCACATCGGATCGAGGTCAAAAGTGTAACAAAAAAAAACGATTCCTGATTTTATCAAGGAATGGGAGTGATTATGCGCACTTGATTTTGTGCACATAAACGTTAAAGTGATTATGCGAGATCAATACAAGAGCTTTTACAAACTTTTGTTTCATCTTGAAATAAGTTCATGGGTAAGAGTGGATCGAACCAATTCCAGCATAATGCAAATTTTGACCTCGACAATGCATTCACAAACGATACTGTGACGAGGTTTTATAATTCACACCAATGAACGTTGGTATGAGGAAAGCTAAGCAGAAAAGATGAGCTGAGGAGATTTGATCATAAGAATCAGAAAAACATATGGTACATCTGAACAAGAAAAGAGCGTGCGAAGCGGTGTAGTACAAGGTGAACAAAAAACTGGAGACAAACAAATTAGAACAAAATTGCATTCAGCCAATAGCAGATCCAAAATCCGTACGCTCTTGTCACGAATATTGACTTCGTTCATGCAGCCTGTTTCTCACCCTCACAATTTTGCTACAGTCTAGACACGGAGGCCTCGTGAGTCAGAGTTCTGGTCATAATCCAAACGCGTCCAACGACGCCATAGTAGGTAATGGTAGGCAGACTGAGGATATGGGACTTGGCTCCATTGAAGGTCGTGTGCTTGTGTAGCTACGACAGCAGATACGAAAGATGGAATTATCGACTGAAATCAAGATGGATCACCGGATGGGCCGACCACACACAACATGCCGACAAGAGCACAAGTGTCTGAATCGAAAATGTAAAATTTATTGATAAATCACATGGTCTGTTTTCAAGAGGGTCAACGGAGGATTTGGTAACCGGCCAAACCTCGACCGTTCAAATCATTATGCGAGAAGTCATTCTATACTTTCACAACAAGTCACGAGAACATTAAAGCTACAGTTGGAAAAGAAATTCACCGATGGTATCGGAGAGCAACGAAAACCTAAAGGTGTAATGCTGCAAAAATAAAAAACCTACTGGCAGTCAACTCAGATTGAGTATCTTATACGTGTCTAGATTACTTCTGGCACAGCCGGAGCATGTATTCCTGGCTGTCGCTGTGCAAATACATAACAAGCTGATCGAAATCAAGTCGTGTCGCTCAGTTATTAATCACCTCTCCCTGTGATCCTAAACAAACGTCAGCTCTGATGAAAATCTAGACACGAGTCCGGCACTCGTTATTGATGAGAAGTCCATCTTTACAATTGGTGTATTCTAGGTAAACGTTCTGAAAGTGAACATTGTCAACCTCAAGCGTATCTATCTGAGCAAAGGAAGTTTGGGGCACTAATATTGAACATCGCGTTGTAAAGCTCTGTAAAAACTGTCCACTTAAGTCAAGCGGGTACAATCTACTGAGGCTGGGCAGTTTCGCCCGGAAACACACGACAAGACTTAAGCATAAAGAACACATTGTCAAGCTACAATAATAAAAACCTTCCACAAAATCTGCCCGGCCCGCTCCATTTTGTAAAGTCTAGCAAGCACTGTATGGGCCCCCACCCCAGTGTGCGCTTTGTGGCATGCTCCCTGGTGTATGAAACAACAATCCAGACTCCTGAGTTCCTGTCAACTCCTGATAATGCCCCGGTTTGCCAAACTCAGAAATCAGCACGTCAGCCACAAGCCTGATTAACCAAGTTATGGCATCATGATTCCTTGTCGTGATGTGGTGAGCGATATCATTGAACTGGATTGATCGAAGCGTCTTTTTCCAACAAAGTATTAAAAATGTATTAGCACCAATTTTTGAAAACTCAGATACGGTCGGGTGGCCAATGTAACAATTCTTGCGCGCACGGGCAGAAGATCCGGCTCGGACGCTCGAAATTTGAATGATCACTTGTCAATGAAACATGACAATATACAGGTCCACTGAATGCTGAGAAATTCAGTCGGAACCTTGGGTGGCGATCTGCGCTCTCGAAAGCTCAACTGCAGCTCAGACCGAAGCGCCAGGGACCCAATTCCACAAATGGTAAGCGGAGCCATTCAGTTTGGGTGCCACCGGGGGACCACGCTGAGCTGTAGGCAAAGCCGGTGCACTACTCACCCGAGAGGGACACTGATGCATCCCCACAATCTTCTCGCGACAAAGTGGGCAGTTAACTAGCCCCTGCACACAGTCCAAACAAAACGAAGAGTGCCCACATGCCTGCATCCACCCGCCGCACCACGTGATCCAACAAACTCATCAGAATTCTGCCCACTCTGCAATTACATCGTTCACTAGTACAGTTACTCGAACCTTTCATCGACAAGAAAGATAACACTTGGAATGAAATTGCAGGCACGAGTTATGTTCGAATTTTAGTCAAGTGCGATTCGCTGAATTGGAAATTCATTGAGTGACTGCTTCAATAGCTGGAAAGTGAATCGATCGTGTAATAATAATGTGGACGGACTCCTTCGGTTTTTTCCGAGATTCGACAGTCACAGACGCTCACGTTCACTTCCACTTTGAGAATTTGCCACCCACATACGAGATGCTCGATATTCTTTGCATGTGAGGGTTTCGGGACCGAGTGACCAATAGACCACGGGAGTACGTACGTACATGCCATCCATCACCGTGGGACCCACGGGGCGAGAGAATAAGCATTGCCTTGTTACAGTTGTGAAGGTTCACGTCTTTCGAATGAACATGGCAGTACGGACTGGTTGAGAACTTAGTTCGTGTGACACTGAGAATCGGAATGTTTGCTAGCGAGAGGAGAGCGAGCATTAATTGCGGGACAACGTACCATGAGACGCACGCCAGCCGGCTGTTCAAGACAAACAATGCAAAGGTTACTGTCGGAATCGTTCTTGGTGTGTCCATAAAGGCTGTACTCAGGCACCGGCCCATTAATGTCACGGGAGGTAAATCGGAAGGCATGCAGGGTCTCTCGGAGAAAGTCACATCGCGGAAAATCAAACGGGGTAGCGCTGGAAGCTGGAGAGGTCAGCATTCCCAAAGCCGCTGCGTTGCCGGTTGCATCTGACCTCCCATCATGCGAAATGGGCAGAGGTAACTCGCCGGTCCCAAAAATGCTAAACAAACTTGATCCGAGCTGAAAATTATGCCCAGTTGCTCGCTCGTGGTGAGACTCGGACCAAAGATTCGGCTCACTCTGTTTATTCGTAATGTTCCTATCACCACCGGAAGAATCTGTAGCCGCTCTGTTGTGCTGCAGGAGTCGCTGCTCCAGGCGCACCTGCTGCAGCGCTTGCTCCAGCGACGCTACGGATTGCTGCAAGCCCTGGTCAATGCGCTCCAACTCCGTGGTGCACCGATCTGACTCACCACCTTCATGTTCTTGAACATGGTCTACCTTATGCTGCTGACCCACTACTTGCTGCTGCTGCTGCTGCTGCTGCTGCCTCCAATCGAAAAATCCTTGCTGCTGCTGCTGCATAACTCTCCCGGCCATAGACCGACTATCCACCATAGGCACTGCAGCGGCCTTCACAACTTGCTCGTGTGCCTGTTGTTGTTGTTGTTGTTGCTGCTGCTGCTGCTGCTCTTGCTGCTTCTGCTGCTGCTGGGCATGCAAGTGCTGCAGCCAGACATGGTGCGGGGTGAAGGAAAGCTGCGAAGGGGGAGCCACAGCGGCGGCGGCGGCGGCAGCAGCAGCAGAAGCAGGTCCGCCGCCACCAACAACTCCCGGCAAATGTGGCGGATCGGGCCCGGGCTTGTGGCCATTGTTGCTGCAACAGGAGGGCTCGGGGGCAATGGCAAAAGCCTTGCGGGGCGGGGGCTGATAATAAAACTCCACCCCGTTGATGATGTGCTCGCGCTGCACGAATTCTCCGCGGCGCTTGCAATCGCACAAGTCCTTGTACTTGGCCACGGCCTGGCCGATGAGCGCCACGGCCGCCTGCACCACGGCCTTCTTGCCCTGGATGCGGAACAGCCGGATGGGCACGGCGTCGGGCCGGCACGACTCGGTCCACGACTGGACAATGGCGCCAGTCACCTGGCCGATCAGGCGCGCAGAAATGCCTCTGGCGCCGATGACAAACCCCGCCGCCAGCAGCGTGACCCGCATCAGCGCCTGCGTCCCAGCTGCCTGGTACTCCGTGCTCACCACCCGATGATCCTCCGACGGCAGGCTCGGGTGCGCATCCGGCACCACGCCGCTCCGGGGTCCTCGCGCCAGACGCCTGCGGCTCTCGACGGCCGCGCGCATGCTCTGCTGCTGCGCGTGCTTGGTCCGCTGCGAGTCTTTGCCCCGCCACCCTGAACTCACAGCTGCCGCCGCCGATGCTGCTGCTGCTGCTGCTGCTGCGCCGGCGGCGGCGGCGGCAGCAGCAGCAGCAGCATCCTTCACTTTCTTGTTGTGCTCCGCATCCATGCACGACGATGCGCGCTCTCGGTCGCGATCCTGTTGTTGTTGTTGTTGATGATGGTGTTGCTGCTGCTGCTGCTGCTTAGAATTATTATTATTGCAAGTGCCTTTGTTGTTGCTGTTACTGCCACACTTTCCATCGCTCACTGTCGCCGCATGCAATGCTGCGCTGCCGGAGTGAGAGCCTTGCACGACTCGCGCGGCCGCGTCTTCTTCGCATCGCTGCCTTTCCAATCGCTGCAACCGCTGCTGCTCCACCAGAGCATCGATCTCCTGCACGAACCCACGAGCCACATTTCCATCAAACCCCGTGCATTTGGCTCAGAGCTCTCAACCACCCGGCGAGCAATCAGTCCGTGGACTGGGTGACTTTCCCGGCACGTGTCGGATCCTATCTCGTGATCAGAGCCATTGGACAAGCAATGAGTTCTTTTTCAGTTCAGGAATATGATGCGTCAAATTATGTTCGTTTCTGTGATTGATGCGACAAGATCAGCAAAATCGAAGTGAAGGCTACAGCTCGAGAGTGACCAGGCGTTGCAATCGTTCTTGTTCGTCTGCGCGCAGCTTCAGTGATCGAGCTTGAGCCTTCCGGCGCTGCGCAGCTTCTCGTTTCAGTTTCTTCAACGACGGCGACGCGGTCGGCGCGCTGTTCTCCATGCTGCCCACATGCTTGCAATAGCCTCACGTCTCAGATCCCTCCTTTCCCCACATCTTGGGCCTCAGAAAGATATGAAGTCCAATTGCAAGCTGGGTTCCCGTCTGATGTCAAGAATCAAGCGTCGACGACCCCCTGAAAAGCAAGAATATCTTGCCCAACTCGCCTGCTAGCTTGAGCTACTGCTAGCGACTGCAGCCAGCCACCGAGCTAGCTCAAAAGTTCTCAGAAGAATCAAAATGTCAAACTGCGCTACGGGGCACGTGATCGGATCGAGAGTGGGCGCTTCTGTCACGACACCCTCGAGCTCTCCGTCTCAGCAACAACGTCGACAATCCCTGTCTGCAGATTAAAAAGCTGACGGCACGAGAGCTGCCCTAGAGCATCCGCAGCCCCGCCGGACTGAAGCAACAACAATTGGTCAAGCTCTTGGACGAGAGCCGGCACGAAGCGGCGCGTCATGCTCCCTCCGACGGCCAGTCCTCGCCTCCCTCGCCACTGCTACTCTCGCTGCTCACTCTCTGCTCGCCAAAGCACGAGCAATATCAGCAGATATCGTCGGAAGCGAAAGAATTTAATGACGGCCTCGCAGCCCCGAGACAAAAGGTCTCGGATCGCGCCACGCACAGGGTCGAAATATATCGAGATTAGTAACATCCCCCGGCCCCAACGTTTCTCGGACTCTAAGACTCTCAGACTCTCGGCAGCGATGGATGGAGCGCAAGATGAGAAAAAAATCAGGCGAATTGGATCGCAAACTAACAGTAGTGACGTCTACGACGCCCGTCCTAAGCCAAGCCAGCCCGGGCCAGGCCAGGCCAAGCCACCCGAAGCAAAGCCCAGCGAGCACCCAGCAGCACCAGCAGCAGCAGCTGCAGCCAGTACGGGACGGGAGAGGACGGCACGGGACGGCACTTCGGAAGCCAGAGCCAGAACCCGTGACAGTGAGACCTTGTCCGAGACAAACCACGAAGTTTGGGCAACGATGTGATACATCAGCATCCCCACCCCCACCCCGCCCCGCCCCGCCCCGCCGCTGGTTAGATTAGATGGCTCCCAAGGCAGGACGAATACTGGTGGCAGCTGCGGATGGTTGCGCTGCACAGACAGACAGACAGCCCAACCTCGGTTTGGTCAGGGGAAGAGGGAGACGGAGACGGAGACGGAAGAGGAAGAGAAGAGAAGGGGAGAGAGGGAGAAGAGGAGGAGGAGGAGGAGGAGGAGGAATGGCAAGCAAAGGTTCGAGAGGGCCGCATGTGGCAACCGATCGCGATCGAACGAACTGCATGCTCCGGGGGTCTCATCGACGATTAGAGGCACCGATCGTAGTAACTGCCTGCCTCTGGTGCCCGCGCTGCTTCAACGGACTTGCGACGGTTATGCCCACGTGGATGAATCCGGGCTTGCCGGGTCGTCGGGCTTCCCTTCCTTTCCTTTTCTTCTCGCTTCCCCTCCCCGTCCTCCCTCTCTTGATCCAGCCACCGCCCGTCATTTCTTGGCCCTCGGTCCCGCGACTCCCGACCCGGCTCTTCTTTCTTTACCCCCGCCTTCGTTCGTCTCGGGTCTCGATCTCGGGTTCTCTTTCTGATCTCTTCAACCATTCGAATCCATTGTTTGCTCCTGAGAATTCTCGCACTCGGTCTCTGAGTCTTGGCTCAATTCGCACGGGGCTTCGGTTAAGCGAACGTCGTGGTAGCGGCCCAGCTCGCGGTTAGGCCGTGCGTGGGCTTCAGTCGTCTGAGTTCTGGCTGCACTGGAATCTGAATGATCATGAACTGGGTGTGTGTGGTTTGCACTGGGAGCTCGAGGGAAGAGTTACGCGTGTAACGCATCTTTAAAAGTCCAGCAAGAAATGTATGATTGGTGAGCTGAGCTCAGGGCCGGGCCGGGCTCGCCACTTGTCAACAGCTGGCTGTCGAAATTGAGAGTTCATCAGTTGGACTTCGAGGTGCTGCTGCTCCTCTCTCAGCTCACCCAGCTCCGCCCGTTCGATTTCCATCCATGTCAACCATCGGGCTCCTGGAACTGCACGCTCGAGTCCATCGCAAGCTGGCACCGATAGCACGAGCGTTGCTGCAGCTGGCAGCACTGAAGTCGAGCCTCGAGAGTCCGAGCTGAGGTGAGATCAGCAGGACTCAGTGTGAATCTTAGACTGTCACGAACCAGATCTTTCATGCTCCGATCACATTCAGAATTTCAACAGACACTACTCGGGTTACGAGCGTTTGCAACTTTGGACTCTGGACATCATGGATGAAGTTTCCAGCGGGCTCTCGAGTTGACGGCAGGGTCTCTGAAGATGGGTCTTGCACATGCGCTTCAGCCTTGCAATTGTCAACTGCACTCCAACCAAAAGCCCATCTCATGTATTTTCTCATGTTTGGCACACGTCAGTGCAATATACCTATTGCACAATATGAAACACTCACCTCCACTTCATGTACTAAGAGGGTAAGCACTGTAATATAGCGAAGGGGTGGAATCAAAGGGGTAGGACGGCGCTAAGTACTGAACTAAGTACACTTCGTAGACTCTGTGCATAAGGAGCTCAGAGTGTCCTGTCGTTGATAGCGTTACCAACTTGCCGTAGCAGGTTCCTGCGACGTTTGTTCGGATGATCCAGGCGATGACGGCGTCGTCAACTCTGCTCCACGTGGCTACATGATAATGTTAGTTGTGGAGATAACCTTTGTGTGGATTTCATTTCCATACATGAATACATCTACGGGGCGATCACTTCATTATCTTCAAGGTCCCAGTCTCTTTAAGGAGACTGTAACTAATCTTACCGCTTATAAATGTACATACCTCCTACGTTTCACGTATGAACTGTCAATCAGAGTTAACATAATTCCAGGCATTTGTGATTATTTACTTTCTATTTTACCAACGCTTCGATTTTCCACAAGATTTAAGTACTTCCTACTCATGTGGTCTAGCTCTACTTAATTTTTTTATTTTTTACTTACATGCTTCATTGGAAGAAGATTAATTTAATGTTATTTTAAGTATACGTTAATTAAAAAAAAGAATTGTATACGTTAATTGTAAAAAAAAAGAAGAGGTTCAACGAGAATGAATTTAGAAAATATTGCACAGCTTGTGTTTCGCACTAGCATATTTAAATTATCTCATGGAACAGATTTTCAAGCATTAAAATATCTAAATAAATAATTATGGTTAATAAAATTTTTTACATCCATGAGAAATTCAGTGACTCCAGCCAAGTGACTTGAAAGCTACTCATTGAAAAACTTAGTTAAGATTTAGAACACTTTCATATTTTTGTATCATTGTTGCAGATGATTTACATGATTGTATGTGTAAATATAAACTTCCTCCACCTCATGATGTATTTAGGTAATTATACGTTATAATACGGATGAAATGCAAAAGTTTACTCAAATACAACCATCCAGAAAAATTGACATGCAGGAAATGTCCAACGGAACAAAATACTTTCTTATTTAAAATCTTATGTACTACTAGCTAAATTTCTTAAACTAATAATAATGAAACAAACTAAAACAAATCAAATTCTGAGTTAAGATCTCCCTTAAGTTATGAGCATTATGATCTATTAAAGTATATGATTACTCTTAAGGTATTCATGAAAAGAAACAAGATAAAGTTACTCTATAAACTAAAGTCAATTATGATTCATATAAATTAATTTTGGCTACAACTTTATCATAATTAAGTTGTAGCCAAAACTTGAAGGAGTAAAATTATATTTTAAGTTACTAAGACGTTAGATTAACTCTAATTGTATCCATGTAAAATATATGATATTAGAAATTATCTCAAGTTTTGATAAACTTGAATAAACTTAACCATGATTGATTATTGTAGTTAGGCTATTAGTGCATAATAGGAATAATAGTGACACTTAGTGATACATACTCCAGTACATTCTCTTAACTTATTGTGTTTTCATGAACATGACACTTTTGAGATAAACCACATATAAGAAATATGAGGTTTTTATTTATAATGTAATTGCAGTTTTTCTCCCCTTGTGATAGGGTTGTTTTTTTTAAGTAGCAATTTGTATGAGATTGAAGCTATTATAACATATTAATGACTGGACTTCACCATTCACACCACAAATCTTGACATTGTCATGTATTATTGACGCTTCTGATGTATTACATGTGATAGAGATCAATTTTTAATTTAGATTTTTTTGATTCCTAAGAGTTTTTGCATATCTTGATGAAGTTTTATAAGTGAAGTTTTGAAAATTAATAGAGCTGAAGTCAACTAAATTTTTGTTTCGATTCTTTGGAATATAACTTATTGAAAAAATAATATAAACAAGAAGTAATGACAACTCAATTAGAGAGCTACGTGTTGAAATTAATAACATGTCTAGATGTTTACATAAGTGCGTTGAGAATAAAGTCAAGATGCAATAAGTGAAATTAGAATATCACTTTCTCTGATACGTACATCTGCTGCAATATTAAATTTGTTTATGAATCATCCGTAGATAGTTACCATACTTTCATACGGACTTTTAGATTAAAAAAATCTACATGAGACAACTAGTTGGCTTTAAGAAGAAAGTTCAAAAGATTTTGAGTTGTAGATTGTTGAAATTTTTATATGGATTTAAACAATATCATAATCAATGAAATGCGAGTATTGATGAATTAATGAAACTACAAAATTTTTTGTAGAGTGTATGTGATGCATGTATATACATGATAAAGGTAAAGAATAAGTTATATAATCTTGTTGAAATACATAATAAATTAAAAATATAAGCTCACATACAATGCTATTGTGTAATTGAAAAGTTTCGATGAGAAATTGAGAGTGATACACAAAATTTTCATTTATTGAATTTATTTCATAAATCATATAAATCTTTATCATGAATCATCATGATAGAAAAATAATTAACTATTAAGAGATGATGATGATTATATTTAATAAATAATATTTTTTAAAGAATGATTTTATGCTTTCAATCATAGATTCCAACCAAAAGAAATGTTGATTTTAAATAGTGGATAGTCTCAGAATTTGATAAATGATAGAAAGAAAAAATAGATATCAAATATAAATCTAGTAAAGATTCAAATTTATGTTGGTTTATTTCATTTATGTTGGTTTTTGTGAAAAAGATGACAAAAATAATAATGAGATAAAATCTAGATCAAGAAAAAATCTCAAAGTTGTATGCCCATTTTGTTTTGACAATGAGACAAAGATGAAAATTTCAATAAATTAATTATTGCAAAGAAAGCAAGAATTATTTCATCAAGTATTGTAAACAATCAGAAAAAGAACAGTATCATTTGTTTGATAACCAGTATGTTTTATTGTGCCAAAGTTATGAAATTTGCAACGGAGAAAAGATGAATGGATTTTATGTGAAATATGTTCATAAAATACATGTTATCAAAAATTTTTCCTAGTTCTTGCTCAACATTATTGGAATGGATAAAAAAAGAAATAAATAAGATTAATCACACATATTTTGAGTTTTGAACAAAAACAAAAAACTTGACGGTGTATTTGAAAAATCTTTCTTGTTTGCGTTGTGGATGTATTATTCATATATATATCTTCACATATAAGATTAATACATTTATGAATCAAAAATTGATGATAAAACATTTTAAATCATGACTAGGAAAAAAATCAATGTGAAGAAAAACATTCAAAATATTATGTGCGTGCTAGATATCAACATTTTTGTGAAAAGTTTCATGTTTATAGATTTCAAAATGAATTTTTATTGCATTCAAATCCAATTCTGTCAAGTCAAAATTAACACATGACCCTTATTTACAAAAATAATTATATAATACAATCTAGTAGATAAGTACTAGATTAACAATATTGAATGAGTTTTGTTGCTAGTACTCATAGTTGCAAATAAAATTTTTGCATGTAATAGAATTAAAAATCAATAATCATCTCGTATTTTTTTTCAAATTTTTAAACAGTTATAAGGTATATCCTTATAAAATATTTTTTAAAGTATATACCGTATAAAATTATAAAATTTTATTCAAAAATTATCTGAATTAATTTTTTTAACAAAAATTTGACAGGTCTGTTAGTTCAAAAAAGTAAAAAATATGCCTAAAAACGTAGATT